GGCACCTCCTCCAAACCCACCACCACCACCTAATCCGCCACCAGCCCCTCCTCCAAGACCACCACCGGCCCCGCCTCCAAGACCCCCGCCCGGACCGAACCCATGGCCAAACCTTTTCCTAATGGGCAAACCAAAGTGAGGTCTAGGAAGAAACTTCTGGTCATCAACCAGCGTTGTCCCGGAGACAACAACATTAACACACAAAACCAGCAAAAGAGAAACCCCAACAACACTCGTTAATAACCTCATTCCCATCCAAACAAATTGTCCTTAATTAAACACGTATTATTATTCTAAACCCCACTGATTAACTGATACTGATAATGTTATGAAATGGCATGCAAATATGGGAGGGTACGTGACGGTAATATATAGTGGTGGGGAGAATTGAATGGAATAGGATTAAAAAAAGACACGTGGGTGGGGTCGTCAAACTCAAACTCCAACTCAACTGTCACCCAATGAAGAGTAAATGCATGGTGGTTTGTGATTGGTCAGTGGGTTTAATTACTTCCCATGCATATTATTTTCTCACGTTCACACTACTCATTCACTACGAGTATTAATTAGCAATGTCTCAATACATTTAAATATGGAGAGTATTCATTAGAAATGTTTTCGTTATTTATTTGATACATGTCACTTCTTGTGTGTAATATAATTTAATACATCCTCCGTCCCTAAATAAACTTTCATTTTTGACTTTTTGAGGATTTAAGTGAGGGATATTTTTGTGTTGACTTTCCAAAAATACTCTTGATGTGATGTGTAAAAGTAAGATGTGATATGTAGATTATTAGTAAAAAGGTATGATGTGATAGGTAGGATATGAAAAAGTGAGGGGTAAAAGAGATTTTTTTAAGGGAAAAGAGAAGTTTATTTGTGGATAAAGAAAAAATGAAAGAGAAAGTTTATTTAAGAAGGGAGGGAGTAACTTTTTATAGGATAGAGGAAGTAGTAGTTATCAAATTTAGTGTTTAGTTTTAGGCTTATTTGCAAGGGACCATCTAATTATACTCATTATGTAATGATGATAAACAAAAGTTCAGGACAATCATTTTTCATTTATATTTTGGTTTGTTACTTTGTTTTATAAACTATGATTGCTCGAGTCTAAGAATAATCACTTTTTAAATGTATTAGATATTGAAAGAATATGGACGACTATATGTCTATATTCATGCATTTATATTTGAGAAATATTTAAGAAGTGATGAGGGACTACATTATTATTATTATTATTATTATTATTATTATTAAAACAAATACGGACTCTATTTACAAGTAATAATTAAGAATTTAAAGTTCGTGGTACTGGCAATAATTAATTTAAAATACGGAGTACTCCGTATATAGTTGGTTCGACAAGATATCGGTAATCGATCTTTAATGGTTTGATAGGCCCGTTACGTTACTCCGTGGATTTACTACTCCCATCTGTTTCTACTATTTCGTTTGACTTCATCGCTGTCACATTAATTATATTGGTGTGTAGGTTTATATACTCATCTCGTTTGCAAAAAATAAACTTTAACTACATTTGTTTACAATTTAGTTTAGAATAATTTACCAAAATAGAACTAAAACATAATGACTTTTTCAATATAGTACTATATGTTTTTATTTCCTAATGTAAGATTATTGGTCATTATCTATAAGTCATTATATTGAACTAAATGTCCAGCATCACTTGGACATTATTCTTCTCACTAGTCATTATTAAGTCTTATTTAGGGAATAAAAAAGTTTAAGTCATATATTAGGAAATAACTCATGTTTTAGTCCTATTAAGTGCAAATTTCACTTTAGTTTAGTTAAATAATACTCCTTCCGTCCCAAAAAGTCAGTTACGTTTCGGAAAATTTGCGTCCCTTAAAAATCCTTTCCATTTCTATTAAAAAAACACTTTTACCCCTTACTTTTTCATACCCTACCTATCACATCATACCTTTTTTCTAATAATCTACTCATCACATCCTATTTTTACCCATCACATCAAGGGTATTTTTGAAAATCAACACTAAAATATCCCTCCTTATTTTACCAATTTAGTCAAAATGTACTAATCTTTTTGAGACGGAGGGAGTACTATCTCCGTCTCACAAAACCTTTCTGGTTTTGATTTTTAAAAGATTTAAAAGGAGTGTATTTTGATGTTGACTTTCCAAAAAAACCTCTTGTGATGAGTCAATTAGTAGTGAAAAAATGTAATGTGATATGCAGGTTAAGAATTAATTAGTAGGGGTAAGAGTAACCTTTTAATAAAAATGAAAAAGGTTTTTTGCGATCAATGAAAAAGAAAAGAGAAAAGTTTTGTGGGACGGAAGGAATATTACACAAGTTCAAACTAAATTTTATATACTTAAGTGTGTAAATATATTTCTCTACAAAATAAGAGGTAACAAGATCCATAATCTTTTTATTTTAACAAACTACTACGTATTAACATAAATAAATAAAAAGAAGCATGAAAAAGTTGTCTCCTTTCAAAAAAAATGAAAAAGTTGTCTTGTCATAAATTAAGTCAATTAAATTGAGACACACTAAGGCTATGGCCTATGGGTGTGCCCTCCCCCTTCCCATTTACCCTTATATTTCTTCTAACTCTCTTTTTGCCTAGCTTCCCCTTTCCCATTTTCCCTTTCTTCCGTCTCCCTGGCGTTAGAAAGGATTAAACATGGAATGGTACTCATTTACTCTCTCTGTCCCGTTATATTCTTCCACTTTTGACTTTTGAAACTGTTCATCTAAACATTTTGACTCATCAAATTCTCTCAATTTGTAAACCTAAATATAGTCATGTGTGATCTTGTTTGATTTGTCTTAACATATAGATTATTACTCCGTAATATATAATTTCTATAATTTTTTAATATACAAATTGCAAGTTAAAATGGATTAAAGAAGTGTATTGGATGGTGTGCAAAAATGAAAGTGGACAAATATTCTGAGATGGAGGTAGTAATAATGATTACGAAAATAATATTTGATAATTATGAAAAATCTTAGTTATAAAGAACGATTTGGAGGGTTTACTCTTTTAATCCACTTTTGATATAGAAGTTAATAAATATGAAAAGTATATGAATGAAGTTTATATAAAAAAGTTAATTTTTTTATAAATAAACTACAATCATACTTTTAATGGTGTACAAATTTTGACTCTTTATAAATAAATTACAATCATACATTTTTCATATTTACTACTCCCTCCGTCCCAAAAAGATTTACACGTTTCAAAAAAATTGTGTCCCACAATCCCTTACCCATTTCTATTAAAAAATCACTTTTACCCCTTACTTTTTCAAACCCTACCTATCACATCATACCTTTTTCTTAATAATCTACACATCACATCCTACTTTTAGCCATCACATCAAGGATATTTTTGGAAACTCAACACAAAATTATCACTCCCTTAATTTCTACTTTAGTCAAAATGAGTAACACTTTATGAACGGAGGGAGTAATTTTTATATTAAAAGTTGTTCAAAAAGAAAAAATTCCCTAAACAATCTTTTATAACTCAGTATTTTCTATATTTTGTACGTCCATATTTATCAAATATTATGTTCGCGATCTTTATTAATTGGGTACCATTCCACGTTTAGTGATTGTCTAATGGCACAGAGACGAAAAATAGAAAAATAGACGGAGAACAAAACGTGGAATGATACCCAACTAATAACAACTAACTGTCAACATAATACAGAGTATTTGATCGATAAATATGGACTAAATATGGAAACCCGAGTAATAAAGGACTGTCAAAATTTGTACACAAAGTATGATTGTAGTTTATTTATAAAAAAATTTAACTTTTTTATATAAACTTCAATCATATGCTTTTCATATGTATTAACTTCTATATTAAAAGTTGATTAAAAAGAGTAAATAATCCTCTATATCGTCCTTTATAACTAGAAATTTTTCATAATTATCAAATATTATTTTTGTGATCCTTATTAAATGGGTATCATTCCACGTTTAATCGTTTCTAACGTCACGGAAATAGAAAAAATAGACGGAGACCAAACGTAGAATGATACCCAATTAATAAGAACTGTCTGCATAATATTTGACAAATGTAAAAACTATTTAGCGAATTTACTCTAAAAAAAGATTAAAACAAAGGCATTATATTCTCTTTGATCTGATCTGTTAATGCGTCGGCAGGTTTGACAATAAAATAGGGTTACGGATTTTCATTTGGTGGACTTTTCAGTAGATTAATTACATGTAATGTAATAATCGCTCATAAACGCATCTTCTTCATCCATCGATCGATCGATCATCATCAATTCCATCCATAGGGATGGATATATGATCAGAACCTCCGCGTTAGCCATTAATGCTGCTGTTTGTTTTTCACATTTATTATATTGGGCCTAGCTCTTCAATCATTTACTCTTTTACTCCTCCCGTCCACAAATAAACTTCTTATTATGCGTTATGATATTTGACTGAAGTTACTTTTAAATTATTTTATATGAGAAAATGGTGTAAAATTTAGAAATAAAAATTACATATTAGGAGTAAAAAACTATATCAAAAGATCTACAAAACTAGAGATGACCTGATTATATTATTTAATTATCAAATGGGTGACAAAAATAGGCCAACAAAGTAAATAAAGTTTGACCTTGTGAATAGTGAAAGGATGAGCCTCATCCCCGAGGGTCCCTTCAGATCCGATCGGACGATCACTGAGAGAAGATAAATTGGAATTTAATCACAGATTAATGGCAAAGAGTGAAACCTGCATCTAGTACTTGCAGATGCCCTATGCTTAACATAGTTGCTAAGTTGCTAGGAATCAAACTCGGGGCTTATCCCCTTGGCACCTCTTGCCTTGCCAACTATGCAACACCCACCGACACTCTTTTATGTCTTAAAATATACTCTCTCCCTTTCACAAAATACTGCGGCCCTAATTCTTTGCGTATACATCCGATTTCGTAGTTCATTGTGAGTACAAGTTGTTTTGAATGTATTTTGGACATTATCAGTGGACTAGAAATGTTTTATGGAATGTGCTAAAAATTAAGGCGGATGTATTTTTTAAAATGGAGGAAGTATATTCGTTCAATTTGATATTTTTTTATCTTATTAAGAAATGTTGACTCTCTATTCTCGAGTTTGTTGAAAAATACTTTGTATATTATTAGACATATTTCTTCTGGTCCTAAAAACTCTTCATTTCTTGATTTTTTCATCAAACAATGACACTTTTCTATCACAAATTATGTAAAAAGTATATTGATGTTTTAATATAAATTTAATATAATTGAATTGGATAGTAGTTTTGATATAAATTTAATATAAATTTAATATAATTTGATATATCAAATTTTTATTGTAATTAATTATCAATTTCAGCTTCGTAATATTACAATGGGCTTGTTGAGAAGAGCGTTAAAGATTTGCGTTAGTGTTTTGGATAAAATTTTAACGGTGTAGATTACTTAGCCTTGAAAACGCTAGCAATAAACGCTGCCCGTAGATAGCCCTTTTAAAACGTCAATGCTAATCTCTAACAGTATTTTCAAACAGGCCCAATATAATGGTTATTACTCTCTTGCTTATAAAATGGGAAATGCTAAAGTCACAAACATTTCGGTTACAAAATACACAAACTTACCATTTATGTATTTAAACATTTACTTTTTAATTATTCAACATCATTTTATTCATTTAGTGAGGTGCACAAATGGCTAAGTTGTGTATTTTAATTGTGACCGAAGTGTTTGTGACTCTAGTATTTCTCTTATAAAATACATTAAAATCTATCAAAACCTGTGTAGAATTAAAACAATCCATGATATTTACATAAATACTAAATTATGAAATAATATTAGTATAAAACTGAATATCACTATTGCATAATTACATTTATTCAAATATATCATACCAAAATATTTTTTTCATATTTTATGTCGTAAATTAGGTGACATATTAGGTGTAAAAAGCTACATAAGTAGTGTACATGTCAACTTTCTAAAGATAAAAGTTTCATCTTTTTATACAAAGGATTTATTGAATAATTTTATTCTTAATAATTTAATGAATTTTTTATGTGAAATTTGCACTGAATAATACTAAAACATAAGTCATTTTCTAATGTAGGAATTAAACTTTTTTATTCCCTAAATATAGGACTTAATAATGACTAGTGAGAAGAATAATATCCAAGTGATGCTGAATATTTAGTTGAATAATGACTAATAAATAATCACCAATGGTCCTACATTGGAAAATAAAAACATATGGTCTTATATTGAGAAAGTCATTATGTTTTAGTCTTATTTAGGTAAATTACCCTTTTTATATTGCATAAATTTTATTTTTGATAAAAAATAAAAGTTTAATCTCATGTCAAGTATTATTGAATGAAATCTTGCTCATAAATCAAATGCCACATATTATGCCACATGTTTACCTCATATTATGCCACATGTATAGTTCGGAAAATAGCCGCCACTACTCTTTATTGTAATCAGAACACATATTTAATTAATTACTCTTATTTATAGAAGTTTAAGTTTGAACTCCTATTTTAAGGATATGATCCATATTTTACTCCTATTTAGGGGGATTTTTTTATGTTTCACATGCATTGTCGAATGAGTTTTGTTCATATAACATTATTGGTAACAGTCTTCAAGCTCTGATAACTTGTACATCCCAGTTACACCACTAATCTAATAGTATTTTCAAGTAGTACAATTTTTCTATTCCTATTGATACACATTGCAGGCGGCCTATCAATGGTCTTTGTTGCCTCAAAAACAACGAAGAAATTATAGGCACCAATGCTTTGTTTAATTTAGTTATTTTCAAATTTTTTGAATATGTGTGCATTAATTAGGATACTATATACAAAAGAAGCATTCGTAAAAAATCTAAAGCAACAATTTTAGAGTTTAATTACATATGATTTCTTGGAAACCTCAAGATATTTTTGATTGTGATAGATGTATGTTGAATTTCTAAAATAAAATAATAATCATAAATATATGCACCTTTTTTATGTGCTTTTTTGTTGAAGTGTTTTATTTCTCCTTTCTCTTACATTTCTAGATGATCCCGTCTATCTCTCGTTAAGTTAATTTTCCATGTTTTCAATTGTTATAGAAAAATTGGATGCTCCTACTAACTATACTTAAAAAAAGAAAATAACATTTGAATAATTATTCTAATTTTTAATCAAAATATTAATCCTCTCTGAACACGTGTGTATTTAAGCTTAAGTGATGGTGATAGATGAAATTACACTTTTCTTGAATTATATCTGAACATTTTGTAATTGAATTGTAAGGGTATCAATTATTTTTATTAATATAACTCTAAAATTGAGTGATTTAAGCAACAAATCTAAAAAGAGAGCTAGTTATATTTTAGATTACTATATTTAATGTTTTATTAAATTTATAAGATTTAAAATTGAAAAAAGGCAAGTAATATTGCAAATTACTATAATTAATGTTTTATTAAAATTATGAGATTTGGATTTTAAAAAAATCATATTCCTAATATGTTCGAATATTCTCTAAAAAAGATCTCTAATTTTTGTTCTTTAACCAAAATTATATGGTTATATTTTTTGTTTCTTTTTTTGTTATCATTTTTTTGTTTCAATATTCTAATTAATATCAATGGTAATGTTATTTTAGTTTCAAATTTTATGAATAATATTTACATTGGTTTGTATATTTTAAAATAATTTTACATTATTATTTTAAGTTAATTATTTATTCAAAGATTTCATACCAAAATAGTTTTTCATATTTTATGTCTTAAATTATGTGTCATATTAGGTGTAAAAAGCCACATAAATAATGCATATATGAACTTTCTAAACATAAAAGTTTAATCACTTTATATAAAGGATTTATTGAATATTTTTATTCTTAATAATTTAATATAAAGAATTTTATTTAAAAAATTTATTTTTAATAATTTTATTTTTGATCACAAATAAAAGTTTAATCATATGTCAAATAATATTTTAATGAAGTCTAGCTCATAAATCAAATGACACATAATATATCCCATATTTTGCCACATGTATACTCCATATTCTGCCACATGTCAAGCTATTATGCATCAAACTATCAAATTTATATACTTCCTTCGTCCCAAATTATTTGTCACATTTCTATTATCGAGGCAAAATATCAAATTTTTTCAATTCATTTTATTTACATATTGGTAAAGAAATAAAAAATAAAAATTACATATCAAAAAATTACATGGAAAATTCTTCAAAATAAGAGATGTCAAAAATATTTTATTTTATCAAATAACTAATGAAAAAATAGAAATAAACAAAAGTTCCCGCGACTGTTGAAAAAGTAAATGTGACAAATAATTTGGGACGAAAGAAGTACTATCTCTGTCCCGGAGTATTTGTCCAATTTCATTTTTACACACCATCCAATACACTTCTTTAATCCATTTTATCTTGTAATTTGTGGAGTATATTACTCCGTAAAAAATTATAGAAATTATATATTAATAATCTATATGTTAAGACATATCAAACAAAATTATACATGACTATATTTAGACTTACACATTAAGAGAATTTGATTAGTCAAAATACTTAGATGAACAGTTTCAAAACTTAAAAGTGGACGAATGGGACGAGGGAGTATAAAGGATTACTCTGTTAAAATTACCCTATTAATCTCCTTAGCCGTTTTATCCGGTGATTTCTATCTAAATTATACGGAGTACTACGTATTTGCTAAAAGCTCCAGGGTTATCTTCTTGCGCGAAAAAAATCTGTGTATTAATGGAGAACCAAGGTGATGAAAATCACGTTGAAAGTGAAATCGAGGAGATTCCTGATGAATTTCAGTGCTGCGTTTGCCTGTAAGTTTAATTTTCCCCCAATAACGATCAAAACCTAATTTTTTTTGTTGCATATTTGTGTCTTTGTTCATGTGATTGCTTTGGCTTTGCAGAGACCTTCTCTATAAACCTGTTGTAATTGGTAAGACTTCACAGTTTGCTTAAGAGGAAAGAGAATTTTGATGACAAAACATACTTCACACGGAGTATGTTTTTTTTCATTCAAATTTTGATTGAACGTTTGGATTCTGCAGGGTGTGGACACATTGCTTGTTTTTGGTGTATGCACAAGGGCATGAGTTCCCGGTTGGAATCGACCTGCCCTATTTGCCGACACCCGACCAAAAGATTCCCCCGCATCTGCAGATTGATGCATTTCTTGCTTTTGAGGATGTACCCTTTGGCCTACAAGAGAAGGGAACTGCAGGTGGCAGGTGAATCGAAGCTCAGCCTTTACTTTCCTCAGTCTCTGCTTTATGTTCTTCGCATTTAAATGGCCGTGGAGGATTCCACGAGCAGAAATTTATTTAGTCTAGGTTAAAATCTTAGCCATTCACATTAGAATTCCAAACTAAATGCTACGGAGGACTATTTTTCTCGTGTGCCTATTGAATCATTGTCAAACATGGCTAGCTAATTAGTTTTCCATTTTCTTAAAGCCTTCTCCGATCCCTTTGTTGTCCAGGAGAAGAGAAGGCGTCGGGGTATGCATCTCCACAGTTTGACGATTATGCTTCAGAAGCTTGTTGCCAGGAGCTTGTTGTTCAAGACCCCACTATTTCACCATCCAATTCTCCAACAGGAGAAACTTCATTAGTTCATGATGTATCTAAAAATACCAAAGATGGGGATAAATTTATGGAGAAAAATGGCAAGCAAAGCCTTTTAGCTGATTTGACATGTGGGATTTGCAAACAGTTGCTATGCTGTCCAGTAGTTCTTAATTGTGGTCATGGTAAGCACATTTTATTTGCACCATCACACCTTAAAAACTACAGAGTAAAAGTTATGGTCATTTTGCCTCATCCCTGGTTTCCATGTCCATTTTTGAATGTGAGAAGTATTAAAATTGTCCACTTTTGAAGGGGAGAATTATTAAATTATTAATATACTCTTACATAAGACTGTTAAAAATAAAATGAATATGAAAATTCCATGGGAATCCACGTTTAACAAAGAAATATTTATCTTTGAGCTAAGACTAACTCCTACAGATAACTTCAAAAAAAATGAATCTTCTCCTTCCCTCCCCTCCACTCCGAATCTCCCACCAAATAAGTCCTTACTCTTTAATGGAATTCTCTCCTTTCTACAGTATATTGTAGAGGTTGTGTCTTCAACCAGTGCGATAAGTTTTGTAGATGCCCAGTTTGTCCATTGGAGCAGCCAAATGGGTACCTAAATACATGTTTGGTTCTCGAGCATTTTTTGGAAGAACAATTTCCGGAGGAGTATGCGTCTAGGAAAATGAAGTATCTAGGTAAATCTGATTCTGTACTTACAAGTAACTTAACAAGCACTGCATCCTACATAAGCTCATTTTTTTACACTATTTGTAGCAATTGACCTTTGGTTCTATTTCCGCTCTAGCTGTTATGTGATATTCTTCAGTATTATGTACTCCCTCTGTCCACAAATATTCTACTTGTTGTGACGATGTTTGGCTGAAGTTATTTTTATATGAAAATTGGTGTGGAACTAAAAAATAAAAATAAAAACTTAAAAACTACATCAAAGGATCTACAATACTAGGGGTGACATGACTATATTATATTTCCAAATGGGCAATGAAAATAGGCAAATAAATTTAATAAAGTTTGACTCTGTGAACACTGACTACTGAATAGTGAACGGGAATAATTTGTGGACAGAGGGAGTATCTAAAGTTTTAAATTTTATCTCATTTCATTTATGGAGAAACTTGCATGTTTTGACTTCTTACACCTGGGAAATTATAGGAGAAAAAAAATAGATTTTTCTAATATTGAGTAAGAAAGACACGATATACAACCTCTCCGTCCCACAATAAAATTGACGGTTTGACGTCATGGAGTTTGACTGTTTAAAGAAAGTGTTAAAAACTAAAAAAATGTGTGGTTGGAATTTATTCAGAAGAAAGATAGATGTTGTGAATCACATATTTGCTTCCTTGAAGGAAATAGATGGCGTCTAAAGTCTATTTTAGGACAAACAAAAAAGGAAAGGTTAAAGTTAATTCTAGGATGGAGGGAGTATAATGCAAGCCTCTTCTTTCTGAGTTTCCCTAATGACATCACAAATACAACAAGACAATTTTCATTCTTTTAGTTGACCATGATGTCATTCATCTAGATTCCTTCATTACTAGAATTATGCTAGAGTGCCTAAGTGCGATCTGAAGCTTACCCCCACCTCCTTTATTGTTCACAGACACAAACACATTTGTGAGCTTATGTGTGTGTGAACAAAAAAGTGGGTGGGGGCATATTAGCCTCTTCCTCAAAATTATGTGCAGGTTTGGTATGGTATACCTTGGGGCTTCATGTTTTTCTTCTATTAAAAATGCCTTTAAAAGTCTCTTGTTTCTGTTTGGCAACAGACTTTTTGTGAGCTTTTTAAAATTATTAAGATCTTTTTAAAACGCTTCTTTGAGTAATTTCTTGGAAATAGTTTGAATCTCTCTCTTTTTTTCACGGAGTATTTCCTTTAAAAAATATCTTTTAGCTTGATATGCCAAACAGATCCTGAACTATTTAGCAACTAAAAGCTATCAGCTACAAGAAAGTTCATATAGTTTCAGCTAACCCTGCTAAGCATATGTTATTCAAAGTATACAACCAGCTAATATCCCTAAGCTATATTCCACATCATCCAAAACGAACAAAATTGAACAGATTTTCAAAGCATTACTGTTCTATATTCCAGACCTCTTGCCTGCTCTTTTGAAAATCTGCATTAGAATGCCATCTGTTGTTACAGGCTTTTCTGGCGCTGTTTGATTTCAATGAATTCAAACTACATAAGTACATATTTCCTGCATTTCAAACTCAGCTTTTGTTTTCTTATTCCTACTATTAACTTTGGTACCAGGAGAAACAAAAATGATGACTGCCAACTCTTCCTCGGCCCCTAACTGTGATGACGCCTTATCACCATCTGGCCCCATTGTTCATTATGGAGTTGGCTGTGATTATTGTGGGGTAAGGTCCTTTCTGTTTGAGTCTGATTGTTACTTTTTACCACTCTCCCATATGGTAGATATTCAGAAGGTTTTTAGAGGGGGATTGCTTGAATTTTTAGTTTGAGGCTACTATCCATTTGGCATTCATCAAGAGAAGACAGCTGCATACAGTATTTTGACGCAAACCAATATATATTCCTATCCCAAGTGTTTTTTCATGATCTAAAACATGCCCGGAAACTTTATAGTTCAATCTCATTGATATGATGCTTCACGTGCACTTAAAGTTGTGATTTATCATGTTAAGCTGTTGAATAAATGTTACGTCTTCAAGTGTCATCTTTGAAAGTGGAAAACATCAATCCTTCGATTTTCAAGCAGTTTACACTTTTAAGGCCCCTAAAGCTTGGGCCGGAAAGGTGGAATCACCCCCCACCCACCCACCACCACCACTACACACGCCCACACAGGTTGCTAAAGCTAGATGCATAGCATGCTAATTATTACAATACCTTCACTTGAAGGGACAAAAGTCCCACACCCAAGTGACCCAACTGAAAATTAGGACCTGCTCGACTTGACTTTTTACATGGGAGATCAAGCCTCAAAGAGAGCGAAACAGTTTCATTGTTAGCTTGGAAAATACTAGGGAAAGAAAATGATATACCGTTTATCACGTATCACCACCACAGCAAAGGAAAACAAAGCTACCACTGGAAAATGGAAACATTCCTTAGATGGTTACTTTTTTTTTAATAAAGAAAAGATACCATTTCATTTATAGATAAGCAAAATGGCAATGCTGCACTTACAAGAGTGAAAATTCAACAAATCTTGCACAAATAAGAAATAAAGATACAAAATACCCTGATCTACGTTTTGATCTGTAGTTCTATTCCTTGCCCGAAGACTTGTCCATGTGAAACATTTAAACTTATAGTAAAACATCTTTAAAAATGGAGACCAACACTGAATGCGCTGCAATTTAAAGCATATCTTTTGCTTCTACTCGCCATAGATCTCTGAATATTCATCATCATTGATAGTTGTATAAACTAAACTAACACACAACTGAACAAGAAACAAAACTTTCATAGAAGAACAACAAAACACTAACAAGAGACACAACAAAAAAACCATAAGGAGAACAGAAACTTCAGATCTGAAAGATCTGAGTTATATATTGAAAATATAATACTAAAAGAGAAAACCAGGAGAGAGCTTTAAAGAGAAGGGAGAGAGTATTAGAGAGGTGGGGGAGAATTGGCTTCACCTATTCACCTCACGTCCTTAGATGGTAACTTAGCAGCTTTGGAAAGAATTGATGTATAGCACTTCACTAGCATTAGGTACAGTCCTTTAGTTTTGTCAATTACTTTGGATGGACAAATAACTAGATGAGTTTCCTCGTTTAATTACATGCAATTTTCAATATACCATTGGAGATTTATTATTTATTTTGATCTCAAAATTGGCTTTTAAACAAATGGACTACCTTTTGGAATAGATACAACCATTCTCAAGTGACGTCTTCATTTTCAAATGATGCCTTTTCTTTTTATAAATAGTGCACTGATCCTCTATGTGACAAGTAGTAAAAAACAGGCGAAGAAACTAAGTAGTTTCTTTCTCCTACACATGTCTAGAGTAAGCCGTTAGATTTGAAGAGACAAATTCCCAACAAAAGTGCACCAGCAAATTGTACTAAACAACAATGAAGCAGTTTGGTTTCCATCAGGGTATCCCACCTTTTATAACTTATTTATTTATTTATTTGCTTATGATAGAGTAGATAAGGAACTTCTTGGAAAGTACTTCCGTTCATCACACGCTTTGAAGGTTTACTGGTTCATGCTTACCAACCTTGTTCTAAACTACTTGTGGCTTGATCCCTTTCACTACTGTATGGCTGTACGCAGACAATTTAGAAGGTTTCATCTAGAGAAGCACATTATTGTTCTCTCTCTCTCTCTCTCTCTCTCTCTGATTCTGCCACCATTGGTGAGAAGAGAACTTCTTACTAAACACCAGAAACCCCACAATTAATCCACATACAGAACGGTTAGTGCATCCTACGAGTTTATTTTCAAAGGCACACACGATTTCATCACGGGCTCTGGGTTAATGTTTCTCTTTTTCAATCACCAATTGATTGAACAAATGATAATGTCCGAGTAAATTATTCAAAACTAGTTCCATTTTTTATTTGCTCATGCGTGAGTCTTGTGATTGAGAAGCTGTGTTACTTGTCGATACATAACGCTCCGATGTCACTAACTAAACTAATGTTGTTGTCCATATACACAGATGCATCCTATCATTGGGGAGCGGTACAAATGCAGAGACTGCAAGGAAAAGATCGGATTTGATCTGTGCGAAGCTTGTTATAAAAACACTTCATCAGATCTCCTCCTTGGCAGATTTAATCAGCAACACACCTCAGACCATCAATTTGATCTCATACAACTGCCATTGTTTCGTGCTCTTCAACCCTTTACCACAGGTGGATTTTTTCATGTTACCGTGCATGATGATCCCTTTGAGAGAACAGAAGAGAGCTCTTCTTATCCTCCAAACTCCCCTTCTTATACTCCAGCGGAGGTGGGCTATCCAATCTTCTTTCGAGACAATCCAACAGAGGAGAGCTATACAGGCTCCCTTCCATCTGAGCCACCGGATACCCAAGTGAACAGTGCATTGGGTGAGAATTTTCAAAATGATTCCAGAGAAAACCCGTCAAACTCTGTTTCAGACAACGCGCGTGGGAGTGCATAACTTGACCGAAAATTATCCGTCGGGAACCCGGAGAAGAGGAAATGATATTGTTGTATAGTTGCCTATTAGTAAAAACTGGGGTTTTGACTTGTGAGGATAACACGGTTTGTGTTTCTTTATGAATACCTTATTTTTTGTAGGATCATGATAGGAATTCACTATGATTGTCCCCACGGATGGCAATCACTGGTAATTTTATATATAAACAAACAATTATCATTTGTGTTCACAGACAATTATCTTTTATATGTATAAATCATCTATGATTGTCATTCGTGGGTACCTGTGGTGGATTTCCATCATTTTTGTTTTTTTATATAAGTATTTTCTTCTTCATAGTTTTAGTCGTGTGTGCTAGTGTCAACTGTTTTTGAAAAAAAAAGCGTTTTTGGATAAGACGAGCTTTTTGGGTAAATTACTTGTTTATTATTCACATGAGTAAACTTTATTCATTTCTTTTTTCTGTTTTCGTTAGTCATTTGATAAAATAATATAGTCATGTCATCACTAATTTTGTAGATTTTTTGATATAGTTTTTAAATATGTAATTTTTATTTTATAATTCTACACCATTTGTCATTTAAAATAATTTTAACCAATCATTATAAATCAAAACAGGAAATTTAAATTGGGTAATCCAGGAACAAGTATGTACAAAGTAGGACGGACATCTGCTAACAATTCAGTTATGTATTGGTAGATGGTTTGGTCAAAACAGAAAATTATATGAATATCTTCGATTTTTTTTTTTGAAAATAAGGAAACTGTATTAAATTTGAAGAGGTACAAAGTCAGGAGGGGAAGAATCCCAATACATAATAAAAGTTTGCCCATAGGCAGCAGCAGCCAGAGAGTGAGCACAAAAGTTAATAGAGCGGGGAATAAAACTGAAGAAACAATTATTAAATCCCTGTGTAAGTTTCCTGCACTCCGAACTAATGATGCCAATATAAGAATGATATGATCTTCCATACAAGGGTTTGCCATGTTGTGACATAAGGTTGCACAGTCAGAAAGTATCCAAACAGACGTCACCCCGCGAGACTTTAACCAAATGAGCACCTCTTTAGCAGCCATCGTCTCTGCCAATAACAGACACAAGCAGTGGGAGAGGGGTCCATTCACAGCCCCCAAGAAAGCTCCATTATGAGAGTAGAGTACAATACCAAACGTACCTAAACCAGAAGCATGTGAGAAGCTGGCATCAACATAGCAGGTAGGGAAGCAACTGAGCGAAGTTTCATCCGACTGCTGACGTTGATCGAGGAGAGGAGAAGGGACTTGGGCTGACTTCCAAGCTGCCAATTTGACCCGCGCCAAGGTGCAAGTGATTCGAGGGGTTGGTAATTTCTTCTCCCAGACTACTGAATATCGTGCCTCCCAAATCCCGTGCATAACCCCAACAGCCAGCTCTAATTCCTCATGGTTTTTTTTTCAATGCACTCAACATTGATTGTAACCACTGTGGGAAATCCATTCCTGACCCATTATGCAATGACAATCCAGATTCTCTCCACACCTGCCTAGCATAAACACATATGACAAGGGAATGCGTGACAGTCTCCACATACACACCGCAAATAGAACATAAAGGATCCACATTAACTTTCATAGCACAAAGATTGGTGGTGGTAGGAAGAACATCACTAGCGGCTCTCCAGATAAAGGTCCGGCCTCCATTTAACGGGGACTTTCAAGCTCCAAAACCTGGATCAAGCAGTGAAACCCAATGAGTAGGCACTTTCTTCTCCCATTAGAGTTCTGTATCCACTTTTAACCGAATAGCATCCCTTCGGGTCTTCACGCCAAACCCAATCATCTTCATAGTCCGGACTAATGGGGATGCACAAAATGCGATTAATATGTTTGAAATTAAGTAGGTAAAATCGATTAATGACTGTACCAAAGGATTTATGTATCACCAAATTCAAGTTGGGCATCGTTTGGATGGTTGTTATAATTTGAGGGGAGCAAATGTTTGTTTGACAACAATTTTAGTATTTAGTTATAACGTTTTGAAAAAAGCAAAATCTTCCATAGTAAACATTTAAATGTAAACAAAGAATTGAGTAAACATAATGAAAGAATTGAGTTTTTTGCAAAAAAAAAAGGAAATATTTTACTTTGCTTTATGAAAAGTGTGTTAATATCTATCCTATGTTTTTCATTTTGGACATTAGGATTGCGAAACTATAATACTTTGAAAAAATATCTAATTGCAGCATAATACTTTAAAAATTTATCCAAAATAATACTCCGTAATATTTAATGAAAACATTATCCTCCAACATCATGACATATATTGTGTTTATTAAATTTATAGAAAATGCTAGGGTGCCTAAAATGGTTGCTACTATGGGTGTATATCCAAGTTTCGCACAAATAATTATCATCCGTGTCCTCTCTGCGAAGCTGGGTGCGTTCATGATATCAACCATTTGGGTACGACTCCCAAACCTGGTCCTAAATTTATTTCTAGTTTAACTATCTTATATAAAAAATTATGATACTATATTTTGGATATAAGATTGTTTTATATTTCCAAAAAAAGAAATTGTTTTGGAAATATAAAACAATCTTATATAAAAAAAAGTATAAAACAATCTTATATAAAAAATTATGAGACTATATTTAACTATACGAAGTATTAAAAAGATTTTTTTTTTTGTACAAATTGCAAACATAAGATCTTGTGTTTGCAATTTGTACAAAAAAAAAATTCTTTTTAATACTTCGTATAGTTAAATATAGTTTCATAATTTTTTTATATAAGATTGTTTCATATTTCCAAAAAAAACACTCAATTACGGAGTATTTCATTACAAAGTATTTATAAATGTAAACTTGCTTATCAAAATACTCCCTCCGTCCCATTTTATATTGTATGTTTTGAATTTGGGGCATATTTAAGGAAGTGAAAAATATTGTTGATTATATTCAAATATAAACTCCTTATTTCTCCATCAGGGTAAAGTCAATTCAAATATAACTCCTTGTTTCTCCATTAACCAAAATAAGAACGATGTAATTTTTATTTTTTATTTCTCTACCAATTTATAAATAAAATGATTTTAGAAAAGATCATATTTTGCACATTTTTTCAAAAAGTTGTAAATAATTTAGGACGGAGGGAGTATTATTGTAAGAATATACTCCATATTAATGGTAAAAAACGAAAAATGAAATTTATTGATGAAGTGAATGATAATAGTTTTCACTTCTCTATCTAAATCATCCCAATTATTGTACTCCCTATTTAGACTCCATATTCCTCTTGAAGCTAGTTATATGGAAGGTCCCATCCACATGGGAAGTGGTCAGTTGCATGCATGCACGCACACATTATGAGAAGAAACAATATAATGGCTTTACCAGTAACAGTAATAAAAAAATGAGCCCCATTCTCGAGAACCTTCTCAGATCCGATCGGACGATCAGTGAGATAGGAGGTAAATTATTAGATTTGATGATAGATTGGTGACAAAAAATGGAGCACGAACCTGATACTTGCAGTTGCAGGAATTGAACTCGGTTCTAACCTTGTTGGCACTCCTTGCTTGCGTAACGCCCATCGGCGATCAGTTACAATAATAATGAGACCACAAAAATTGTACTCTCTCTGTCCATTTCAATTAAATTTCTCACGTATTTTCCCCAAAATTGAAAAAAAAATTACAAATACGTAATATAGTTTAAAATAAATAAACACTATATACAATCTGATATATGAAACTACATACATACTCCGTATATCTTAATATAAATTCAATTATATTAAATACACAGCATAACTAAATATTTTTCATATAATTTATGATTAAAGATTGTAAAATTTACAAATTTAAAAGTACTCGTATATTTTTTTTTTTAATTAAAGAAATACTAGTATAATCAATAGACCAGAGACCAGACAGTACAAATGTACAAAACGATCGGCCTAATACTTCAAGATTTGTTTCTGCAAGTCAACCCTCTGGACAAATTAACCACCGGCTCGGCCCGGTCCGGTCCAGCTGACCCGGTTTGCGTTGACCTTGCAAATAACCTTTTTCCCAATCACACATGTGTCCAAATAATTCATTTTTTTCCCCTCTTTCCAATTATTTTTGGTCATATGTGATATCGAACCGTCAACGTAACGGCCGGGCATCACATCTTGTCGGTCCACCATATTGCCTTCCCATATTAATGTTTCCACAGAAAAAAAATTGGATTTTACTTGGTAGTGTATTACTCCTTCCGTCCTAAAAAAAACTTTCTTGTTTGAAAAAGAGACGTGCGTTAAGAATATGTAATTTTGGTATTATTTTCTAATTATAACGCATCTGCTCTACACATCATATTCTACATTAGGCTAAAATCCACCATTGGTCTTTCAACTTTATCAGTTGTGCACAATTGGTCCTTCAAGTTTCAAAAGTTTATAAATAGTCCTTCAACTTTATGAGTTCTGCACCATTGGTCCTTCAAATTTCAAAAGTCCATAAGTAGTCCTTCAGGTACACGTCAGCCCTTCATATGATGTCCTTTTGACAGTAAATATTAAAAGTTAAATGAAATACTAGTTTCATATAATACGAATAAATTTCACTAGGTATGACTACTCCGTATTATATGGAGCTAGTATTCCATTTAGTTTTGAACATTTACTGTCAAAAGGACCTCATCTGGAGGGCTGAAGTGTACTTGAAGGACTATTTATGCACTTTTAAAACTTGAAGGACCAATCATGCATAAATCATAAAGTTGAAGGACTACTTATGGACTTTTAAAACTTGAAGGACCAATATTGTACAATTGATAAAGTTGAAGGTCCAATGGTGGAGTTTAGCCTCCTACATGCACTATTATAAAGCAAAGGTAAAATTAGAAAATGACACCAAAATTATACATTTTTAAGGCAGATCTGTGTTCAAACAGGAATAAGTTTTAAGAACCGGAGGGAGTATTACTCCCTCCTTCATCTCTAAAATTCCTTCCTGTATTAATTTTTAAAAAAATTTAAGAGAGTATATCTTGGTATTAATTTTTCAAAAATGTCTTTGAATGTGATGATAAAAATAAGATTAGATGAATAGATTAATAATGAATAAATATGATGTGATAGGTAGTGTAAGAGTTTATAGGATAACATATGACTTTTTTTTTTGAGAAAGTAGAATAATTTTTTAGAAGGATGAAATGTGAAAGATGAAAGATTTCTAGACACATATGGAGCATAATAATTTTAAATGTAAATTTAATATGGTTGAGTTTATTTTAAGATATAATTTTGATATATAAAATTTCTACAACATTTATTTAATTATATATGATTATGTTTATTAATGATTCATACGTGTAGATCGAAAGTTGTCAAAAAATGTAAAAATGTTTTTTTTGGAGGGGGAGAGTATATTGTAATTACGGAGTATATACTTTCTTGTCAATATGAAATTAATCTGTGCTCTATTCAGAACCCATAGGGACTTTACAAATGACTTTTGGAAATAGATGAGGTTTTGACGTCCAAACAACCCATAAGAATCAAACCTAGACTCGACCTGCTCCGATATCATGTTAAAATTCTGATAGGCCAAGAACAATAGATAAAGTATCGGATAAAATTAATCAATTGCATATAAAACTGAGTTTCACTTTCTAGCCCAAAAGCGTAATTAAATTGATAGGTAGGATCAAAATTTCTGATGTGCAATACTTTAAGAGACACCAAAAGACAAGGAGCCTCTTTCTAGTCTAAAAAGTCAAATAAAATTAACCACTTACATACATTTTAACCACACCATTATCACTTTATTAACTGATTGCCCAAAGTAAAGGTACTCGGTATACAATAAAAATGGAGGATATTGTTTGCATTAACATTTTTGTTGTACATAGTATTTATTCATTTCCTTTATAAATATGGAGTAAATATTATACATACATAAATTAATTAAAAGAATAATAGTATTGTGTTATCCAATAATAATGCTAGCTGGTTGCATTAATGAAACTGAAGATTTGCTGGACAGAATTGGCCAAATCCTCTGCTGCGTACCTTGTTTCACTTGAAACCTGCACATATTATAAACATATGCCAAACAAAATCATGATTAATTGGAACATCTTAATTATAGTACTTTAGGCATGTTGAAAACTTTTAATTATTTAGGCTCCACTGTCATGTTATTATTAACACAAATAAAAAAGAAAACATGATTTTTTTTTATGTGACGAAAGAAGTAGTTTTAGTGCGCAATATATACTGTATATTTGGTTGTACGGTGTTTACCGTTCATCTGCAGTGACTACTCGATCATTTTCGATCAAATGAATACTCATTTTCGAGTAACTGGATACTCCTTGTTCTAAAGTTCAGTTATGCTAGAAAATGAGTGATATGTTACACAAAAATAAGTATGCAGTTACTCGAAAATAAGTACTCTGTATAGTATTTAAGTAGATGTACGGAAACCTTGTACATCCGGTTGTATGATATATGTACTCGTTTTAGTGCACATTTAGATATTTTCAAAATTTATGTACTTCATCAGTTCCAAAATAATTGCAACACTCAAAATTTTACTCTCCCCATTTCAAGAAAATAGTTACATCTCCATTTTTTGCACATCCCACAAAATACTTATACACCATCTAAAATTTCTAAAATACCACCAAAACTACTTTCTTGCGGGTGAAATTTGTTTTGGATATATTTTAACATTTTAGGTGAGGTAAAAATATTTTGTATGATGAGTAAATTAGGGGGTGGAACTATTTTTCGAAATGGAAGGAGTACAAAACTTTGGGACTTTCTCAAAAAGCTTTACCCATTTGACTCTCACAAAATTAATGACAAATGTTAAAAATATTTTTTTTTGCAACGCTAATTACCTTGACATTGAAGGAATAGAGTACGGTTTGGTCAACAGTGGTAACATTGGTGTGGAAAATGTTGAGGTGCAAATCCTGTTCAAGGGCAGAAATGACCTTTACCAGCTGCCCTTCCCTCTTCCTACACAATATCTTTATCATCCCCTCACACCCCAATAGCTTCACCTCCACCTCCGCCGCACCGGACTTGCTCCCCGCCGCCTCTTCGGACATTCCGGCCGCCGCCCCGTACACGTCCGGCATCGGCGGCGGAATGTGCGGTGGAGGCGTGGAGGAGCCGCCGCCGTGTAGCCCCGGACCGTCGCCGTAGAGCCTCCTCCTCTTTTGGGACTCGAGGCATTGCAAGAGTTGCTCTAGTTCTCTCACAAACTCAATTGCTCCCCCAACTATTGAAGCTTGATCTCCCTATGGATACATAATGTTGGGGATAACGAAGATAACGTGGATCAGTTTGAGAGTCGTGTAACACTTTCAGATTGATTATTTTGGATGTTCAATCCAAAAATCAATCGGATAAAACTCAAATTTGACAAGAAATAACATAGTATGCATTTTTATGAATCTCAAACTATGCTTTTGCGACTAAGGATGCGCTGGATTCGTAGAGCCGCAGGAGGATGAAGGAATGCAGTCGCGTCTTTTTCTAAGTTTGCGTCTACTCCCGCAAAACATTAAAAAACGCATGTAATTTTCGAAAAAAACTTCCTCAAGGAAAATTCAAAAATCAAAATTCAAACAATTTTTTTAACACAACACTTTATCCAAAATAAAAAATTTCCAAACTGACGACCTCAGCCAGGGCCTGTCGCCCTTGAACCATATTCGGGGGGCACTGCCTCTTTGGAACCCCGTTAAAACAGGACTTTAATCATAACAAACTCAACGAAGCGTGCACTCTGACGACCAGACTTCTTTGGTGATAATTATGATACCATTTGTCAAATAATTTATCCAATTAGACTAAGATATATAACACATAATGCATATAATAATTTTAAAATTAGAGATAATTTAGAAAAGAGATCACAAGCTTAGAAATTAAATGAATGGGGAGATATTAAAGAGAGAAGGGTAGGTACCCTTTGGACGTAGGACGTGGGCATGAGAGATCTCAAGACACGCAAATGCTCATTCATTTGCTTCCTCCGATTCCTCTCTACGGCTATGTGTGTCATTCTTTGGCTCTCCACTTCCTCACTACTCTTCACCCTTACCCTCTTCCTCTTCCCCTTATTACCATTATTCCCCCCTCCTCCTCCCTTGACTGCCGCCTCGCAACGAGGCGGCATCAGACACTCCTCCACCAGCTGATCATTCTCCTCCAGAAACCTCATCTCCATGCCCCCGTCATCTTCTCCGTTCGCGCGGCCGCCTTCTTCCTCTTGCCCCTTCTCGCCCAAGACAGGGTACTTGAGGAAGCAGGCAGGGTCGAGCTCTGCCTCTTCCTGATCGAGTACCCTATCCGTCTCGTTCAGGGTCAGTCTCGGACCGAAGTCCGCGAACTGCATGACGTCTGCAAAGCTCAGAGACGTCGCGTCACAGACAAGCGGTGGCGGTGGGAGACGAGCGTTGACCATTGAGGAAGATGGTTGACCATCAAGAAGACTAGTTGACTTGGTGCTCATTTGGTCAAGAGAATATCCATAACTTGTTGGCAAGGAAGCCTGGAGTGGCTCATATTCAAACAAAAACAACATAGTGATTGGTGAGAACCACAACAACCTATGATCTATTTATACGCAGACTTTATCCCTCCTTAAAAATAAAAAGTCTATTTCCAAGAAATCACTGCTAGAAATGATTATTGATATGTATATGTATATATGTATATGTATACCTTGAAATTTTCTTGTTTCTCCATGTGTTATATATATAAACCTAAAAACCCTAATTGAAGTTCTTGAAATGGAGGGAAGACAGTCCTTAGCTTGGTGGGATCTTCACAGCATATATGGGTCCACCCTTCTGCAGATTAAAAGACAAAATCTTTAACAACAATAGAGACAAAAAAGATGAGAAAGTCATACTATTATCAGCTAGCACAATGATCATATATAACAGGTTTCCAATTACTTTTATTACCCAAAAAATAAAAAAAACTAATTTTTGTTACCCGAAATAATCGTGCAATAAAACTGTATAATTAAGGATAGTTAATTACCAACCTTTGTGAAACTGATCGAGTTTGAAGAGTAGATGAGAGCCATCTTAGCTTAGATATGAAAGAACCTTAGCTTGTTTGTGTTACATTTGTATGTATATATATGTATATATACCCGAAGAATATGTAGCATTGGATTAAATAAAAATTACTACCTCTGACCCAGAATATTTGTCTAGTTTTAACTTTTTGTAGTAAAATTTGTATACTTTGACTATTAATAAAATAAAAGTTATACTCCGTATTAGCTATTGATACAAGAATAATTTTATATAAGATTTATTGTCTTTTTTTATTTTTTTTAAAAAATTTTTTGTACTAAAATTTTCTTTCAGTTTCTTTAAAAAAAAGAATCGGGTTATAGTATGGATTTTACACCCTAACATACTTACTAATCCTTAACCTACTTATCCTACAAATCCATTTTTACCCCTACTATAGGTTATACCTTTTTTTTTCTAATAATTTACCTATCACATCTTACTTTTACTCATCACATAAAAGATGTTTTTTGAAAGTCAACACAAGATTATCTCACTTAAATTTCTTAAAAGTTAAAACAGAAACGTTTTTACAGGACGGAGTACAAAATTCAATAACAATGTAACATAAAATGCACCATTATTACTATAATTTGTTTTAATTTTTTTGGGAAAAAAATATAAAGAGAGGAGCGTGGGGGCATAGGGGGAAAAGAAAGAAATAAAGAGGATATGCATGTGGGTGGAGCTTATTATTAGTAGTATAATAATAACTTTAATTTTCACCACCTCAAAATGATATTAATGGGACTCACAGGGTGAACCAACCTTTACCGCCTCACCTCTTCCTTTTCATGACTTTCTAATAAATACTTAAGCGCTTCTACTATAGCTACCTCATATATATATATATATATATATATATATATATATATATATATATATATATATATATATATATATATATATATATATATATATATATATATATATATGAGAATAAAATCTAGCCGTCAGATCTGATGCATCGTGTGGCTCAGATTACATCCTGCGCTCAGATTTTGATATAGTGCATTTTTGAAGGTTTATGGTGCATTTCGACGTGATGCATTTTCGAACCATTTTGGTGCATCTAATTTTGATGAAATCTTGACCCTTAGATCTCACAATCCAAAGCACCAGATTCATTCTGATTTCTCTCCTAAGATTGCATTCTCACCAGAACCAAAATCTATATATATATATATATATATATATATATATGTATGTATGTATATATATATATGTGTGTGTGTGTGTGTGTATATATATATAATATATATATATATATATATATATATATATATATATAATATATATATATATATATATATATATATATATATATATATATATATATATATCAACCATATTTTTAAGAGTAATTTACTTAAATAGAACTAAAACATAATGAGTTTCTCAATATAGGACCATATGTTTTTATTTCCCAATATAGGACCATTGGTCATTATATATTAGTCATTATTCAACTAAATGTCCAGCATTACTTGGACATTATTCTTTTCACTAGTCATTATTATTAAGACCTATTTAGAAAATAAAAAAGTTTAAGCCCTACATTAGAAATGACTTATGTTTTAATCTATTTAGTGCAAATTTCACTATTTTTAATTTGGAAAAATTCACATTAGTACTTTCATATTTGGCCGATTGTATAATATTACTTCTAGAGTCTCTTTAACACAATAGTACTAAAAAAATTATCAAATTTTACATCTCTACTCCACTCATATTGAGCCCGCTTTGTGGAGGGTTAGAAGGGTAGGAACCATCAATTTTACGAACGGGGCACCAGAGCACTCCGGGTCATCCCATGACATTGGAACCCAATGTCATGAGAACCTTGGTGTTTTAATATTTGCACTTTAGACATTTGAAAATTTAATATTTTAGACGTTAAAAAAGTAATAAGAAATCCTTCGTGGACAAACAAAAATGACATTCAGGAAGATTTATGACAGACGGAGGGAGTACTAAAAATCAGAACCAAACAATAGAGTTCATTTCATTGAACATTATTTACATTTTAGGCAACGCCCGCCCACGGCTCTTTATTCTAATTTTGACTTCTTGGCAACAAGTTGCCCTAGAAAAGATAATTATGCCTCCAAAGAATAAAGTATGGAGCAAATCTTGTACAAATATGTATAGAATTATATGTTTCACCAAAGTACATACACCTACTTGGTGACACCCCAAACACACTCCAAGAAACTTATAAGACCACATTAAAGAAATGAAGAGCACACATTCAATTTCCCACACATAACAGTGGTCGAGGGACGTATATATTAAGTCAAAGCCTCGCGCACAAGAGACCGATGGCTAAGTTGCTGCTCGTAGAGTTCCCGGAAAATGCGATATTTTGCATCATGGTATTTCTTCACTTTGGGGTCTTTTGATGGGTAAATAACCTGTGCAACCAAAGAAACAAAAGGCCATCAAAACCTAAGAAACATGGCACATAAGTGTAATGGGTGTCTCCCATTATGCATTTATAGTACTTTAGTTCTGAGCACATAATGGACTAAATCGAAACGACACATTTAACGTTTCTTGTTTCTTACTTTCTATGACCGACCAACAAACCCCAACATAGTTCGAATTATACTGTGTCAGTGTCATTTTACCAATTATTTTAACAATAAAATAAGAAAAAACCATTTAGATGGCATGCAGTACATATATACCTGTCCGGCTGCACTCAGAGACTTCATAGCATCACGAATAGTGGCATATTTCTTTGAAGCAACGGCACCAAGGATAGCAGCTCCCAATAGCACAGGCTCATTTTCGCGTGGAAGGATTATGGGGTAACCTATTGAAATCAGAAGTGGGATTTCCAACACCATTTAGAATATTTTTTTCGCCAAGAAAAAATGAGTCGAAGTTGTAGCGTAAAGCTTTTTTAAATTAAATTTTGTGTCAACGCATTACAAGGCTTAACTTTGAATGAAGAGTTCATGCAAGCATGCATGAAAAATCAGTATGATAAATTCTTAGGAGGTTCTTAGAAACTTCCACGCACGACCAATGCAAAAACTTCAACTCTATCAACTCCGTATGTGTCAAATGACTTACTGTCTAAAGATATACCTAAGCATCTAAACACAAAGCACAAAGGAAGAAAGCACACATCATGCGAAATGATAGAACCAGAGTAGTGAGTGAAAGATACCAATGATATCCGAAATTTCTTGAATGAACAGTGGATTCTTAGCAAGACCGCC